CTCTGTAGACCAGGCTGGCCTCGAACTCACAGAGATCCGCCTGGCTCTGCCTCCCGAGTGCTGGGATTAAAGGCGTGCGCCACCACCGCCCAGCTCTGTGGTGTTATTTTTAATTTTATTATTTTTTTGAAATTGTCATAAAAGTATAATTATGGAGGACAAGATGAGTTTTGAAATAGCGTTCATTCTGTGCAGTGGCCTCGCCAAACTAATTAGCATACATATCACCTCACTTGCTTATTGTGTGGGTGGTAGAAATGCTGTGGAGCTACCTTTGGCTCTCTGCAAGCACAGTGCGTTGTTCAGAACTGCGGCTGGGGTGTGGAGCAGGAGGACTCTCCAACTTCCTCTGCTGATTTAATTACATGGTTGTGTGCTTTGACAACCTTCCTTCATCCCTCCCTCTCTACCATCTCAGCCCCGGGAACCAAAGTACTCTCTGCTTTCATGTCCTTTGATGGGGCCCTCATTGAAGTGAGTGGCAGTTGTCCATCATTTTGTGTCTATTTTATTTCACTGGGTACCTTACAGGTTCATCCACTCTGTTACAGTCACAGGATTTTTCTCCTTTTTAAAGGCTTAATAGTCTTCCATCTTGAGTATATGTCTTATTTTCTTTATCTATTTCTTGATGGGCCCTCTTGATTTCATATATTGGCTAGTGTGAATATTGTTATAAACAAAACACAAGTACAACCATCTCTTCAACATGGTGCCACTAGATATTTACCCAGTGGAGGGGTTGCTGGATCATTGATTGCTCTATTTTTAATTTTTATTTTACCACTATGTAGAGCAGAATGTCCTCACTACCCCGATCCTCCTACCTTGCCTCCCATGTGCTGGGGTTGACGGGCGTGTGCCTCCACACCTGTATTTAATTATTGGAGGTGCAATATTGTTTTTGTAATTGTCTGGTGTTCCCTAGCATTTCCATGCTGATCATTCGCTCACCAACTCCTGGAGTGGCTCCTCTTTTAGACACTGGCCATCTGGCCAGTATCAGGTGGAGGTCGGCCCCATCCTCATGTCTGTCTGTTTTGATTTCTGTTCTCTTCCCTAGTCTTTGTCATTTCTTCTTTGGTGGTTACCATGGCTTGCATGTCCCCATAACATGCATTTTGGAACATAATTCTCACTGTGAAGTCTGAACGCAGGGATATAACTATGGGGGTTGAAAGTGGTGCTTTGGGAGTCATTCAGGTTAGACAAGGCCTCCAAGCAAAAAGAAGCTTCTCTGATGAGGGATGAGAGCCACACTAGTCTATGGGTATGCAGGTAAGTATTCAGAAGGCAGTTTGATACTATGCCAATGTAACATCATCATCATCAACATCATCATCATCATACTTTTCTCCTCGGGCCTAAGGCATCCCTAGCCATGGGTTCTTGGTCCAGTTTTCAATTCCAGGCATGAGTTCCCTTTGTTGAGTGGGACTTAATCCAATAACGAATTGATTGGTTGTTCCCATGGCATTCATGCCGCGGTTGCAGTGGTATGCATAGCTTGCTATGCTGGTCATTATTATAGTTCACAGGGTTTCACAGCTGGCGAGCCCTTGATGACTTTTCTTCCTCTGGCAGTCTGCACAGCTGGCAGGGAGCAAGCTTCTGTGTCAGTACCAGTGTGATTTCTCTATCTCGTGACCCTTGTCTATCGGCAAGTTCTTACGGACAACCAGCAGTTGACTCACTTCTTTCTAACCTCTGTGTTTTCTGGGGAATCCCGTTGTTTATTTATTTAGCGTCCCTTGTAACGACGGGTCACTCCTCTTGCTGCATTTAAGGTCCTCTTTGTCTTCGGTGGCCACAGTTTGGTTGTGAATTTAAGATCTGCCGAGATCCTGCCCTTGTGTCATTATCCCTGTTGGAAAGGGTAGCTATCGTGTGGCCTGGTTTCTTTAGTGCTTTAGCTGACCCCTCACAGCGTTTCTCTAGCACTGCCTTGATCTGTCAGCTTCATGACTTAGCAGTGTGTGGTTTGGGTTTTTTTTTAAAACCATCATCCACAGTTTCATAGAACTTCAGAGTCATGTTCTTGTGCTCTTTTCTCATAACTTGTCCCATCAGGAGACTTGCTGACTACCATCGTAGAGAGGTTTTGGGAAGACTTTCACTTTCCTTAGGTAAGTAACACATAGCCTTGTCTGTGATGATGACACATCCAGTTGGTGACCTGAAGATGAAAGGATATTTTAGGAGCCCAGAGGGAGAGTCACTCATGACTTTCTGGCCCTCCTTAGTAGATGAGAAAATCAGGCTTGACTGGATTAAGCAGGTTTGTGACCTTGAGGTTATCCTAACGAGAGAGCAATGGAGCCAAGGATGAGAACTCAGACTTCTTGACTCTTCCTATGAAAGCCTGCTCATTCCAGAGCACAGGTGTCCTGAGTCTCAGCTGTCGGTGTTATCCACCAGCCAAGCAAGATGCTGCTTTAACCAGGTAAAGGAGTGAAGTTCTGACTGGCTAGTTTGTTTCCCAAAGTGCACAGGCTACAGATTAAAATGAACCATGTGTGCTTATTCAGTTATATCACCATAAATTTAGAGAACAAGTGGTGACCGAGACTCGGGTGTGACAATACGGTCGTCTGTGTATACATATATAGTACCAATCACACTCATGTTTTTGTCTTCCTCTTTCCTTGATATTTCTGTTTTGAAAAGATTTACCCTTTTTTCTTCCTTTCCAGCATATTTTTGAGTAAGTACAGTTTACATACAGCTTCCTTAAAACTAAGAGTAAATGATCAATCAGAGCCATGTTCATTCTCCAGAGAATGAGGCATGACAGTTTAAATTTTAATCCCCATGTCTCTCTTTCTGTTCTCCCATGATTCTTTGCAGCAGGGCAAGGGGAAGCAAATGTTATAAAGAGAGTGCTCCTAAAGTTCCATACATCTCCCCTCACAGGGGAGCTCAGCTTTTTTGCAGGTTGAGCACATGTCGCATATGGACATGTCTAGAGAACAGATTTCCCCATCTCCAAGCAGCAAACACGTTAGCTCACCGCGGGGAACATGCTAGTGATTCTGGGAAAGGTAGGCCACCAGGAAATCCGTAAGGTGATTTGGCAGCAGCCTGTGCTGTCATGCCAGAATCTGGGTACTGCCCCACAGCTTCCTGTTTTCAGATGTATTAATTGATCTGCAAAGGACACCCTTTGGAGACAAGAATTCAGACAGACTGGCATAGGCTGGACGTCCGCCAAGACTGCTCGGAAGGTTGCCATACTGGGAGGGAAAGAGTGAGGGGGAGAGAGAGACAGAGAGAGAGAGAGAGAGAGAG